ATGATAAAATTATGAATATAATTATGAATGCTTACTTTTTCCAATTTGAAAGTTGAGTAAGTACGAATATAATCCACTAATTTAACTTGTGATATAAAAAAATATTGATTATTATTACTATGAAGAAATTATGCCAACTCTGTTTTATTGTTAACGAAATCTTGAGTCATTGGATGTATTTCAATTAGTAGAACACGGTAGGACTCTAACTAATATATACATATATCTATGTATTATTGTATGTTGTCTTGATATGACATGGTTTATAAGATAATAGTATTCCATTTCACATATTTAAGATTCGCCAACGGCGAAAAATTGAGCAGTTGCAGTTATCATCGAAAAATAATTTAATAATGGAAGAAAAAATTAAATTAATTTTACAGACACACATAAAATTCCTAACAATTAAATTAGTGATAGACAAATTAAGTAATTTGCAGAGCAAAAAAACTTTTCCTTTTCAATGAAGTCCATCTAGTTTAAACAACAGATGTGGGCATAATAGGAAAAACAAAAAATAAAATGTACAACTTTCAACTTTTGGGTGACTAAAACTCCTCCTATCTTTGTTGCTTTTTCAAAACGTTGTGTCAGCATTTTGAAAATATAGACTAATGGGGAAGTTGTGTCAGCCTTTTGAAAATACTAATAGTGCTCAAAGTGGGTCCCTGACGCAATCTAAAATGGTGCTCAAAGTGGGTCTCTGACGCAATCTGAAAAAGATTTCATTCAACTAAAAAAAAAAAAAAGATAAAGAAAAAGAAAAAGAAGAAGAAGTAGTTTCTCCATCCCTTCTATTATTATTATTATTATTATTATTATTATTTTTTTTTTTTTGAGATCATGAGAGCTTTGACAGTCCACATCACTACATCACTTAGACTTTTTTTTCCTTCGAAGATTTTCTAGTACTTTGTTGATTTGTTTTTGTATTTACTGTATTTCGTGGGCTTTATTATTGTCTCCGTCGCTGATCTGCTTTCTTCTCCATAGTCGGACTCGCTAACCTTTATTGTGTTGAAACCATCAAACCGTCATGGCCGAGAACCAAACTCGCCTCCACCACGGTAGACCCAGTTCCGCCTATGCTGTCTGTAGCCACGGTGAGCAGAGAGCAAGGAAAGTATGGCGCTAGACTGGGTTTGCGGTTATCATCGGCATAGTGAGACGATGCGGGAGCGTCGAAAATTGGAGGAGCTGGTAGGGAAGTAACCTGAGTTGAGATCGGCGCTAATAGTGCCTACGATCTGAAGCGCCTTGGATGGTGTCAGCGATGAGCAAGATGGACAAAGAGTTTCACAATGAAGAACCCTGATGAAGCGTCGGTGGATTTACCTCGGGGCCAGCCGTAACAACTTTGGACTTTCGCCACACCGATGATGGAATTACGAGTTTCTGGATCTCGTCGATGGTTAGAGAGAGAAAAAGAGGAGGGAGAGAAAAGGGGCATCCGGTTCAACAAAAAGAAAAAAAAAAAAATTGACACGTTAGAAGCCATGTATGACAGTCGGTGAGTATAGGGTTAATAATTTTCTTTATTAATTAATAATTTCTGTATTAAATATTTATTAGTATTCATTTAATAAATAATTTAGTTTACATGTTAAACCTAATCACATTAAACCCTATTGAAAAACGAATCTTGGATCAGATATCCAGGTGACATCGCCTTACTCAACTCTGAACTTACCCTCTCGTCTTTTAGTCTCGATCTCAACTCTGAACTTGCCCCCCCTCTCTCTCTGCAACTGCATACTACAAAATCTACAAGAATCAAAAGTTTAAAACCCATATATTTCAGTTTATCTATCTGTCTGCAAGAATTAAAAGTTCAAAACCTAGTGAAAAAGCAGACATGGGAAGGAAGCGGAATCTATCGGGAAAAGGAAAGAGGGAGAAACAATTTGTGGCTGTGTCGTTGACGTCGGAGCTTCCACAGGATGTGATCGACGATATTCTCTTTGGACTACCGGTGAAAGATCTGCTACGTTTTAGGTGCGTTTCCAAAGATGTGCCATTATTGACTCACCTAGGTTTATCAAATTGCAACTCAACCGATCACTTGAAACTGGAACGAGTTTGAGTATAATTTATAGAATTGTTTCTATTAATTTTTATTTAGTAGATTTAGATATGCTAGATGGATTTTTGGAGATTGGTAATAGTATCCCACGGCTAAATGTTGTAGAAGTCCATAAGGGTGACTGTTTTACTAGTGTACGAGGTTTGTGCAGTGATTTGATCTGTTTGCATAGTCACGATAGTCACAAGTTGGCAACCATTACCTTGTTAAATCCTTCCACCAAGGAATACAAAATTTTACCTCTAGTGCCACTTCCACGAAGGGGCCTCAACGCAAATGGAATAGTGTATGATCATGTGGGTGATGATTACAAGGTGGTTAGGGTTGTGCTGTTCTTTGAGGAGGTATTTAAATTCGTTTCCTCCGAAGTAATGGTTTATGGTTTAAGATCGAATATGTGGAGGCGAGTATGTGAGGGATTCAACTATTTACTTTATTGGGCTCCCAATTCTATGAATAATCCCGGCATGTTCGTTACTGGTGTTTTGCATTGGTTAGCGTGTAGAGATGGGATAGATTTGTTTAACTTTGTTGTTGGTTTTGATCCTGTGAATGAGGAATACTGGGAAATAAAGGTGCCAAACATTTCCAGTGTTCATTATGGGACCTTGGGGGTTTTGGATGGATGTTTGTGCATACTTTGTGCTATTAATGAACACGAGGATTATGAATTATGGGTGATGAGTGATTATAAGGTGGAGTCGTCATGGACAAAAGTTTGTACACTAATGGTAACAGTGCCAAATCGTGACAACGTGTATGGCATGCAATGTGCAAGGGTTTTGGCTTATTTTAACAGCAGTAAGGAAGTTATCTTGCTGTATATGTTTGATAAATTAATGTGCTATTATCTGAAAGAGAAAAAGGTTATGGATCTTGGCATTTGTTCATTTTCTACTGATGTTAATGTGAAAAGCCTTGTTAAGCTCAATCATAAGACATTTGAAGTGTTGACGTAACAAAGAAGCTGGAAAATCTAATCTTCATGCATAAGATTTTAGAGATTGGTTTCTTTATGTCCCGAGTTAGATCATTTTTCATGTTAAGAGGGTGAAAAACGAACTGTTGTGTTGTTTTTCCTAGTGCATGATTTTCAAGTATAAGAATTTCATTCTGTGAAATATATACACGAATCGTTTCTGGATTATAACTAGAACCTCCCCTTTTCTGGATCTATCTCACATCAATAACTCGACCCCTACCCCCTGTAGGTAGTTTTAAACAAGTTTTCTTTGAAGTAGATACCTGAATGCCAAGTATGGCCCTCAATAATCTATCTTTCGGGGCATACGATGATTTTTTCACCATCTGGGGCGTTAATTTCCCTACTAAAATATCCCCCGTCTCTACCCAAGATCCTAGCATCACAATTCCATTTTTGTCTAAATTACGGAGTAGATGGGCTTCTAAATGCGGTATTTCGTTAGTGACCCTTTCGGGACCTTGGCTTGTCACATGAGTCTGAACTTCATATTTCCGTATGTGAAAAGAAGTATAAACATCTTTATATACCAAGCACTCGCTAATGAGTACTGCATCTTCAGAATTGTAACCTTCCCATGGCATATAAGTTATTAATATGTTTTTCCCCAAAGTGAGTTCGCCATTAACTGTAGCGGCACCATCCGCTAAAATTTGTCCCATTTAAATGCATTTACCCGGCTGAACCCGGGGTTTTTGATGCATACAAGTATTTTTGTTGGAACGTTGATACATAACTAATGGAATGCTTAGAGTATTTCCATTACCTGATAAAACTATCTTGTTAGTTTCGGTATAAACGATCATTCCCTCGTGTTCGGCTATAGCCAGAGCCCCTGAATCTTGAGCTACTTGGCGTTCCAACCCAGTTCCAACAAATATATCTAGAGCCGCTTGGTGTTATAATTGAATTTTTTAGAATACAGTTTTCAAGAAATTTGAAACAAATAGAGTTTTTATAAAGTTTTTTGTTTTTCAGAAAATTAAAAATAGAAAACTGTTTTCAAATTTACAAACTAAACATATCCTTAGTTTCTCACACTTGTTTATTTTCCCAATTTTTTTTTTTTTTTGCACCCTAAAGGAGTTCCTTTTTATTAGATATTCCTATTTTATTCAAAAATTTAATTGTGCAAAACAACTTGCCAAAAAAAAGAGGCAACTTGTTGTGGTTTCTTTCTTTCTTTTTTATTGAATTTATTTGTGTGCTTGAGCCATAAATTTCTATATAGATGGAAGACTAATTGTAACAACCCACTCCATCACATAGTATGGTATTATTCACTTTAGGCCTAAGTTGGCACGATTTTGCTCTTTAGGCTTTATCCCCAAAAAACCTCATACCAATTGAAAATAACACCATCACATGTCATCTTGACCTTTTTTTTTCAATATTTGTAAAACATAATACTTGATAATAGTATACTAATACTTGGCCAACAACAATATATAATTTCACCTGAAAAAAAAACATATAATCAAACTTAAAAAAAAAAAAATGTTTTGTTTCTCTTGAACTAATAACTAGTTCTACCTACTAAAAAAATATTATGAAGCCTTATTTTAAATATAAATAATAGAAATAAATATTAAATAATTATATTATTAAATTTATCATTAAACACAAATTTATTATTTTTTTTAATTTTTAAAATTATAAGGATAATTTTGGTATGTAAATCACTCTTATTTCACTTTCATTTTATTCAAACTAACTAACTAATATTTTTGTACAATTTTCTTGAACAAATTTTAATGCTAACCAAATATAGAATAGAAAATTATTTTTCTTTTCATTTATTTCTCTTTCTTTTCTTTTCTTATTTATTTCCATTTAACGAAACGGAGCCTTAGGCATAATATGGTGGGCCGGAGGATAAAAATAAAAGGGCCGGCCCTTCCCCCACAAGCCCTCTATGCTTTCTGGGTTCGTACATTCGGGGTCCAGAATCCAGTTGAGTCCGGTAAAAAGTTTTGAATGAGGAATACCCCTCTCACCTCTTCTCTCTCTCTCTCTCTCTCTCTCTCAACTTTCAGACGCTCGAACTGAGGCCTGACCGAGCTTCTTCAATCATGAATGGTGTCGTTAACTCAACCCTAGTTCACACTTCTCTCTAGGGTATCTATTTCAACTTCGTCTCTGAAGCAATCTTTCACTCTCGGATAAATGGAAAGGAGGGGATTGGATGGACCGGTCGTGCCTTCGAATTCCGTCGACGGCGGCACCGGCAGAACATCTGCTCATCGTCTTCAACAACCAGACTACAGCGAAAAATCCGTTCAGGTGCACCTATATATACACACACCCTCACACATGCTGTTCAAAATCACATGTAATTATATATTAACCCTAGTTCTCGAATCAGTAACGCTAGAACTTCATTAAGGTATTAAGCATATACTGTTGTAATTGATGTTTCGGAGTAAATTTGGTGCATTTGGTCTTCAATTTGTTTCAAAAACTAAGTCCTTGCGAGGAAAGTTGAGTACGTTTGTTGATAGAGTTAGGGTTCTGGGGTGAATTTTAAAACTGAACTTTCTACACGTTGATAGGGATTCTATCAATTCATGTTGAATTCCTTTAGTCAGATTGGGTAGTGGTGTGGAGTTGTGTGGAGTAGAACATTTTGTTTGTTAGAAGGGATCTGCTTAAACCCAATGAGTTTCAGAAACACAGGTATTAAGGATCCAAGTTGGACTTCTAGCTGTTGTCTTACTTGTGGATTCTAATTTTGAGCTTATTTGTTGTAGGTTTGCTATAGAATTCTGATATTTCTCAAGTGATGATTGAGTTTATACTTTATTCTCAGCATTTTATTTAATTTTTGGTTTTGTCTTAAGAAATCTAGTATAATATGATCAGTTGCATTTGTTGGCCCCCTCAATGTTAGTAATAACAAACTCACTTGTGAATATGATGTGTTGAGGAAGTGAACTGAAAGTCGGGACCATAAATGAATCAATACACGACTACAACTTATTTGCCATAGAATCCATGTTACAATGATTGGTTGTATTGAGGCCTTGTTTATCATGATTACCCATTAAAATATCATACAAGAAATCTTATATAAAATCTACTTTTAGTTGTACAAAGGTCCCTTACCACTGTTTTAATTTTTTATTTATTTGGTCATATTCTTTCCTCTGACTTTCCCGTTCTCCAAGTGAGGGTGTTCCAAGGACGAGGTTATGAGGAAAGACATGTTAAATATAAAGTTTAATTGAAAATGTGGACTAGAGAAAATAGCAAAACAAGATTGGCGTAGTGGACCCCAAATAGCTGGAATAGAAGGCCTTTGCTTACTTATGTCAAGTGGAGTTTTGTCCTCCTGATGCCTTATATTTAATGCTCTTTTGTCCCTTAATTATTCAATGCATATATATATATATATATACTTTGATCAGTTAAGTGTACTCACACACGTATTGCCCACACTGGGGCTCGAACCCCTCCCTTCCTCTTTGATGGCAGGGAGGTTATACCATTGAGCTAATGGCTTATTGGTCTTAATTATTCCATATTGCACATGAAGAAGATGCTTAAAGGTCTTTACAGGACAGGTATATGGGTGATTTATGATATGAAAATGGAATCTGTTTTCGCATTACATTAAATTTGTTAGTCAAATAAATTTTAACCCATCCTTGACTTTATAATTAAAAAATCCATTACATAGTAGTCTCCCGTTAGTCAAGCATCTGGGTGGGGCAGATTGAATGCAAACCTGATGATTTACATTATTTGCACCAAGTACCTATCCTCAGATCCAATCCTATGTTTTTCTTTTGACAGCCTGAAATTTTATGAATGCACCAAGCAAATGTCCATTATTGCCTCCTTGGAATTATGATTGAATTTTATCTCATCCAATGCAATGGATTTCTCAAATAGTTTCTTTGTCAGATTAGGGTGAGCTAACTGCCACCTTTAAAAGGTGCAGTCTAACTAAAATATAAATCCATAAAAAGTCTGTATATTTACATTTCATGTTGCCATATCATATAATCTGTTTGCTTTAGGTTGTTGAGCAGTTGCTCATTATATTTGAAATTATAATCTTCTCCTGGTTTCCATTTCAGGAAGCACTGGAACACTTGGCATCTATTGACCTGATTGAGTTGCCTATTGAAGCAAAAGTTGAGCATTGTCGAGCTACTAGAGACTTGAGAAGCTGTGGACGCTCTGTAGAATGTGTGTTGAACTCATGTGGACATGCCTCCTTATGTGCAGAGTGCAGTAGACGGTGTGATATTTGCCCCATTTGTAGGATTCCAATACCAAAGAAGGGCAATATTTTTCGACTTCGCCTTTACTATGAGTGTGTAGCGGCTCATCTTATCTCCAAAGGAGATGATGACAGGTTCCAAGAAAAACAAAATGGCAAGAATCAACTAATTGCGGATGTCCAACGGCTTTATTCTTTGTTTGACGTTGCCATTGATAACAACTTGGTTTCTCTGATATGCCACTGTATCCCTTTGTGGTCACTTTATTTCTTAGTAGTTAAATGGTGGGGCAGATTAGTTATTTTACTCTTACAAGCATCAACTGCTTGAAATTTCTAGTGAAGGGAATTATTTCAAGAATATTAACTCTTATTTTTATTTTTTAGTTATATATAATTTGTAAGATTGTGAGTGAATTGGAGTGAACTGAAATGACTAACGGCAAGAAGATAATTTGAATATTAATTGACTTATTGTTCCTATTCGTTTATTATAAAGTGTCTGTTTTTTACAGCTTATATTTATTTAATAAATCAGTTGTGAGAGAGAATATGGCTAATAAAACAAAAGAGTAAGGATCTTTTAATAGTTTTGCACAATTATTATAATTATAGGGATCTACTTAAGCCTCTCTGACATGCTTGACATGCTTATAGTATTAGCTGTGACTAACAAGCCTAAACTCTGGTGGTTAATAATAACTTTTTCTGCTGTATTTGTTTTGGAACTTACTTTATTTGGGACTTAAGTTTTCTTTAACTGAAGAGCCAACAGATGTTACAGATGTTTGTATGGATGAAAGTGCTGTGTCTAGTGATCCACTCATTGCTTTCTTGTTGGATGAAGTGGTGGTTAAGGACTGGTGCAAGCGGACATTCAAAAATATTATTACAGAGCTTCAGGGGATATGTATCCTTCAACCTTTTAAAGATGGTTATATCTGAAGCCTATTGCCCCCTCCCCCCCACATTTTTCTTTGCTTTTTTGTTCTTTCCATTTGGGTTGTAATCCTTAACATCTCCGATAGATAAGCTTGCATTACAAGAGATGAAAACAATGTTGGGATCACTACTAAAGTCTTCAGTAAAGTTGGTTGGCTTATCCAATGTTCTTGAAGTTTTGGAATCATCATTTAGGGACACTCTTTCAGTACAACTTCATGATCTGCATGACCTTCAAGATAACATATTAAAGACAAAGCAGGTATAATTACTTAAAGCACTTGACTGTGAAAGTATTTATGATTTACATAGTAAGATATTTGTGTATGTTCTTCAGTTAAGTTCCTACGAGCAATATGACTAGTTACTTATGCCAGAAAGATAGCTTTAGGGATTGAATATTTAAGATAATTTAGTTCTTAGGTATGCTGAGTTCACACGTAATTTTGGTGACAAGGTTGCTACCTTCGTTTAATATGTGGTGTGTATTGGTTAGGAATTGTTTTTGATATCTTTAGTTCTTTATCTCGCCCCAAGTTCGGTTGATCTTCAAGGCATGTTTGAACATGCTTTAGTTCTAAAGAGAACGTAAATTGACTAACGGTGCTTCAGTTACTCTATATTATTATTTATATCTCTTTGCCAACATCATTTTTGTATATTTCAGCATATAGAGATGATGATATGGTGTTTAAGGCATCAGTTTCTCGAGAATGTCAGGTCTCGTCATACTAATATCACATCATGGCGTTCTCATGTCCGTGAAAGAAAATCAGCTGCAATTAAGCATTCATGGCCTGATTCAGTAAATCACTCTGCTGATTCCATGAGACGAGATGGTTCCACACTCTTTATTGAAGATGCACTGTCAAATCTTGAGATAGAACAGGGATACTCGCATGAAACGGCAGGTGAATTAGAAATTGCATCTTTGCAAAAGGATGGCGGCTCATCGTTTTTCAGATCTACAATAGAGGGGATGGCGGGATGCTATCCATTCGAAAATCTGCGAGCCGCCACCGACATGCTTTTTTGGCATGGAAGTTCTGATTTGGTCGTGGCAAAGCAAGCAATTGTATCCTGTCTAGTTTTAGTATTTTCAACGTTTCTGCTGATGGTACATACTTTCGACTAGTTAGAGTTCTCTTTCTTTGTTTCCTTAATTTTGGCACAGTTTCTTTATTACCTGTTTGATCGTCACTGGACAATTCCTGATGAGGAATGGAGATACGTTGTGGATGACTTTGCGGCTACATTTAGTATCTCGAGGCATTCCTTACTTGAATCTTTTACGTTTTATCTTCTGGATGATCATACGAATGAGGCTCTGCAGGTAACTTTTTATATTTCCTTTAAGTGTTTGTTGAGTTTGAATGCCACTCTGTTAAGGTACTCGTGTAATGCCAAACCCAATCGTATGATGAATTCACCACACATATAGTACTTCAAAATTGTTATCATTTTTCATCTGTACTGTTTATCACTTCAAGCAAAACCGTAATATGTTAAACACTTCATTAACATGATGACTCAAAAACTGACCACGAGCTGTGAAGTGAAAGGCATAAAGGCACGAATGAATTGGTAAAGCCAACAGAAAGACAGCAGACACCAAGCGTAAAAGAACTATGGGGTGGTCAAATGATCTTTCTGTTACAAGTGCTTGCACCGCAAGAAAGAGAGATTGTTAAAATATTATTGGTGGGCCTGGTGGCTAGTGGATTTTTCTTTTAGTTTTGGGTAGTCATTTTATGATCTATCTTTGTCCTTTGTTGCTTTGTTATTTGATGTAGAACATATTGATATAATATAACTTCATATTTGTAGTATAGTTTGGAAAGTGCTTGATATATCAAGCGTGACCAACTACTTGTTCCAAATGACAATTTGTTGCATCTGAACATATCAATTATTTCAATAGCGATTAATGTCCTTTAATGTTGATTAGTTTGAGTAATCTTAAACTTGGTAAAATGCATTGGTTTGTTTAAGATATGCAACTAAACAAGATCGTTATGGCAATCGTCCACGGCGATTCTGAAACTCCATATCATACGCTTTCTTTTCAGTTATGTGAAAAGGAAGTCCTGTTCCTCTTCCGAAGATTTAATTATTTTTTTTGGCTTCTTTGGGGCCTTAAACCCCGGTTCCACTTTTGTATATGGGATGCGTTCCCCTATTGAACGCCTTTTTAATTAATTATTACTTATCCAAAAAAAAAAAAAAAGGTGTCTTCTAATGTAGGGGTTGTTTTTATTTTACCTCGGGTTTGACTTTGAATTATGGTTCCTTAATTCCTCCTGGTCATAATTTGGGAATCTCTCTTTTCAGAGTTCTCGATTCTCTTAAAAAAAAGTGCGGTAGTCTGATACTCTTAAAAGTCTGTAGACCCCCTATTCTTACATGAATTTTCTGTCTGTGATAGGTATGTTTTGTTATTATTGACATGTTTAATATATTTGCCATATACAAGTTCGAAAGAAAATGTAGGTCCCTTGTAATTACCCAAAAAAAATTGAACAATTTAGTTCCCATGCCATCTTTTCATCTATCATGAATGTAAATCTGTTGACTTTTCATTGTTTCACTATGTGGGAAACATAATTTGTCTGATGGTGAGAATTTTCCTCTTTTTTGGTAAGTTAACCACTATATTGCTTTGCGTTGGATATTTTTACGGTTTGAAGTGAGGCAAGCTGACAACCCTAATAGGTTGGCTATCTATACTATGAATTTAAAGGAAAATTATTGGAATCTTTTGCTCTTTGTTTCAACAGGATTTTGGTGTCGCTGCATTATTCTCTGGTAATCTGGTGTGAAGTATTTTTTTCCCTGTGGAATTTAAATAGTTTTCGTTATTGGTTGTTCATGATAATTTTCTAGATAGTCTGTCGTATAGTGTGCTATCTTGGTTGCTGGCTTAGATATTACCATATTCTTTTTATGAATGAATTGAATACTGGGATGGCATGGGCGTAGGTAGACTGAGCTCAGTGGTGACTTCTTTATTTACTTGATAGTTAAAACGACACATGGCCACAGTTACCTATTTTACCAGTGGTGATCTTCTGAATAATTTAGTGTTGATCTTCTGAGTAATCTGGATTACGCTCTTGTTACCATTGTATATGCTAACATTTCTTGTTTTGTTGCATAGGAAGCTTGCCGTCTTCTTCCAGAAATTTCAGGCCCAACAACTCATCCAAAGGTTGCACAAGTTCTTTTAGAAAGGCAAAATCCTGATGCAGCTCTTATGGTTCTAAGGTGGTCTGGGCGTGATGGTGGATCACAGTTGGTTTCACTTGGTGAGGCTATCACTACAGTTCGAGTGAGAGTGGAATGTGGACTTCTGACTGAAGCATTTATGTACCAGAGAATGCTCTGCACAAAAGTCAAGGAGAGGAAGTTAATGCACGAATCTCGGGATGCTTCAGATGATTTAAAAGATGAGCGCAGGACTTGGGTGGATTGGGTGGAAGCACTGGTGACTGAAATTTGTTGTCTTTGTATTCGGAGAAACTTGGTAGATCGAATGATAGAATTGCCATGGAATTTGGATGAGGAGAAATATCTCCACAAGAGCCTGTTAGATTTTGCCATTGATGACCCGTCAACAACGATTGGAAGTCTTCTAGTGGTCTTCTATCTGCAGGTAACTTTATTATCTAATTCAAGTTGGAAGCAACATTCTTTCCCGTTTATGATTCATGGCTTTAAAAGTGTGTTGCTAACACTCTTTATCTTCTAGAGAATTTTTTACATTTTGTTTTGTTGGTCTTTATGTATACCCTTCGTGTACAAGCATTGCGCCTCGTTGCCATTTTTTAAGGGTCATTGTTTTGTGTTACGTTAAAAGGTTGGGCTGACAAACATGACGGTGATAATCTGTGTTAACCTTGCCTTTTATTTTTCTGAGGTACCAATACTGTTAAGGGTAGTCTGGACTCTGTGTGAAGGTGAAAGAAACTGCTTCCTCCTGTTGGTTTCATAGCAAGCCTAGGCTAGTAAAAGTGACTGATAAATTGGTTTCATAAATATATTTTTATTGTTTTCTGTAATACTTACTCACTATGTTATTGATGGAACCTTTGATGATATCAGCAATTAATCTGGCCATGGATTTTGGCTGCTATTTATAATTTATTTATGCAACCATGTTTAAAAGTTCTTAATTAGAATTAAGTGCATATTCTGCCCATCAGGGTGTAGACAGATTATTGTCTCCTTTATTCTTACCTCAGCATTGGGTTCTGACTTTGTTTGATGGAAATGTATCGTTTGAAGCCTGCATCATGTGCTGTTGACAGCTTGGCTGCTCGATAAATATAGTTAATAGTTAATGTGAAGCTGTGTTTGCTTGATTGGCACTTTTACAGCTTTATAAATCTTGACCATAAGAGATGAAAGAACGGCCTTCAAACTCTTATGTGGGTCAGATAAAATTATTCACTAAAGACCTCTAATTGTTTCATTGAGGATATTAATAGCTCCTTAGATTACAAACTTACTTAGATTGCTAAGTTTGAAGTACAGATTAAAGATATGTAGGATAAATTAGCTTCTATTTGGTGGAGTTGAGAAAGTACAGGCAAAGAAAATTATTATGATCATATTCAGCCATTGGATGTTTTAGGTGTAAATGGTTGGCTCTTTTTTTTTTATTTTTTTATTTTATTTTATTTATTTTATTTTTATTTTTTATTTATTTTATTCCCCTCTTTCCTTTCCTTTTTTGTTTTCCTTTTTCCTCCTTTTGTGAAATCTAATTTAAAACAAGGGCAATAGAATTGAAAAGTTCAGCAAATACTTGGGAGATAGGAATAGCTGAGGACCTATATAGGCAAGATTATGATGTAATGGATGACAATGATTATTATCAGTATGAGATAGGAGTAGCCACTTTGGTCATAGAGACAGCATGGTGTTAATTGAGAGGGTTTGGAATTGGGGCAAAAAAAAAAAAGGGAAAAAAAAAAAGAAAGAAGAAGAACTACCATTAGTGGAATCAATTGGGAGTTTGTTTGATAAGTGAAACTTCGAATACTGAAAGGCTGGAATAATGGATCATTTTTTGTTTTGCGACCCCTGAAATATAATACACTTTATTATCTTGCGTAGCTTTTGGTTCTCAGTTTGATTGTTTAGTAAATGTATGCTGTTTACTATGGTCATATTTACACATCTACTTCCAGTCATTGGGGGCCTTTGTAAAAGGATATTCTACTTGCATTAATTGTTGGATTAGCAGATATTTGGCTTTTAAAGCAAATTTGAAATGGTATTTTATATTATTTTTCTTGTAAGCTGTATCCTAGAAACCAATTGTAATGACTCAGATTCTTTGCAGCTGAGCACTTTAACTTGTGTTTTGTTTACCATTTCAGCGCTACCGATACATTGAAGCATACCAAGTTGATCGTAAACTTCAGAATGTGGAGCAAGACTTTATTTCAAAAAATTCTGTCAGTGAAGAAGTCTTAATCAGAATGGAATCGGCAAGTCACTGGAGAACAGGATTGGTTGTAAGTGATTTTTAATTTCGGGATGCATGGCTTTATAGAAAGCAGCTTGCTCACTTGATGTTTGACTTGAATGGATTGGGTTCTTCAGTCTGTAGTGTGTTTCAGGACTCTATGAGGTATTCTTGTTCTAAATAAATGCTGTGGGGTGATCTGTGTGATATTACCTTTCTGTCTGCTTCACATAAGCATGGTAGGAGTCTTTACAGATTTGAACTTTATTTGCCTAAGCCGTCTTCTTGCAATTGAGGTGGTTGCATGTGAAAGTTGTGGCATGAGGTGGCTTTTCTTAAACTGAAGATCAACTAGTTATTGTCCTGTTAAAAAGTAAATGCGAATTCTGCCAGCTTCTCCCTAAATCTAAATGCATCAAGATGGTGCAGTGAGGTTCTTCAATGCAGTAGCCTGTTTTTGGAACAGGCTTTTGTAAATCCTTTTTGACTTGATACAATATAGAGTTTTGTGTATATATATATATTATCTTTCTTTATGTGGTTGCATGTGTCTTTTGCCTTTTCATTCATTCTTTCATTCCCTTTATTTTTTTTACTATTATTACACACACACACACACACACACACACACACACACACACACACACACATATGATTTACTCTCTCTCTTTGGGGAGGGGGAGTATGGGGTTATGCAATGTGTTTTGATGAAATCATGCTGTTCTTTTAAGTGTACCTTCAAAAATGAAAAAATCAGATATCCAAAGTACCATTTATTTTATTTGTTAATTTTTTGGTGGGTAAATCTCGCGTACAAACACACATTTGTTCCATTGGGACTCGAGCCCTCAAATTTTCATTTATTTATTTATTTGGATGTTTCCTGAACTTTGTTGTGTGCTTTTAACAGGCTAAAAGCATCAAGTTACTTCCTGAAGTTCAACAGCAACAAGTAAAGACTGGCAAATTGCCTGAACTTGTTTTTCCTGCATTAGAAGTTGATATTCCTGCAAATTCTGATATTCCCGAGGTACAAGAACCGAATTCAACCAGTTTATTAGTTCCCTCTTCCATTGATTCTTCCATTCCTAATCAGATGGACAAAGCAACCACTTTCTTGAAACCTTTAGGTCTTGAAACTCCATCAAAACTTGGTGTGTTTTCCAACAATTCCCATTTTGGGCTTGGAAAGTACGGCTCTCCTTCCATTCCCCATGGGAGTTTATTTATGTCTGTGGAAAGAGGACTGAAGTCTCAAAGTGGTATCGGTGAGAATTTTAAATTTGAAGGTATGACAACTCCTGGAACTCATCGTGCTAGTCCTATGACTGCAACACCACTAAAAGAATTTAACAGAAATTCATCTAGAGTGCCTTGGAATAGCAGCTTCCTAGATCATCAATTTGATAAAGTCTCACCAGAAAAGGAGGAACAAAATGGTTTCACTAACCGATTCCAAAATACTAGGCCACACTCCACGGTTCTGGCTGATCCTGTAACTCCACTTAGCGGCAACCATTTCTTGTCTAAAGATTCAGCTCAACAAACTCCTTATCTAGATGCATCCAGTAAACAGGTCCCATCAGATAGATCTGGTAGGCCCAGGAAAGTGGTTCCAGAAGACGATCAAATGGACATTTCCTGGAGGTAAAGCCGCCTTAAACTTTTTATTCTCACCACCAAACTGAGGGCATTAGAAGAAAATTTATTTATTTATTTTTTTACTGTACAAGTTATTTATTTATTTCTTCAATTGATTATTACTTAGCCATGGAGAGAAGGATTCTGTCGAGTACACAACTGCAAATGGTGGACTGAGATGGAGGTCTGATGATACCAGTGAAGATGAAGAGCAGCAGAGTCCGGATAGACTCACTGGAGCAGCTTCTCAAGCAACACCCGCTAGGAAATTCAGAAGAAGCAGGTTTGCCCGGAGATGATTTCACCTATCTTCTACCCATAGCAAAAGACGACCACCTTCCATGATTCGGAGGCTCCAACAGCTCAAAGCAGTTAAAACCTGCAATTTTTACGTGAGATTGTTCTGCTGCCAAAGTTTCCAGTTGAGGGCGGCATTCTACCGTATCTTAGCACTTTCTTATACCTGAGATGTGGTGAGGTAGATGGCAGGTTTGATCAGCTATTTTTGTATCTTATATTAAGTAATCAATAGCCCTTACTAGTGTTTGAAGTTTCAATTTTTTTTAGTACCTTACCATATTATGTAATCTTTAATATCTATAGGTTTATTTTAACATAATTTTCCCCTTCAATGTTTGGTCTATCTATTGGATTCTAAAGAAATATGTGAGGAGTAATGCTACAAACACCTATTGGTTGTGTTAAACTCAATGATTGCCATATCAGTCGTTAACAAAAATCGATTGGCGATTTATCTTTTTTCAGATATGTATATATATATATTTTTTTGTAATTGCAGTTACAGGATTTCATTTTAATTATTTGGTTGTGTTGGAAAAACTGGAAGAAGAGTCGATTTATTAGAGTAATAAGCAATTCAGATAAAATTTTTGCTTCTAAAAGACACAACGAAAAATTGTATATAAAGAACCCTTTCTCGAAATAAATTGAGTAACGTTCTTAAGAGGTCTCTCTCATTGGAAGTCATGAGGTCTCTCTCATTGGAAAAGTTATTAGGTCTCTCTTCCTATTTAATTATTGGATGAAATAATTTTTTGAAATGTGTAAAAAGTCAAATTAGTTATTTAATTCATCTTAAGTTAAAAAATTGGAGTATTACTCAAATATATAACAAGACTTATTTAGATGATTTATAGAGTTCCTGAAGACTGTTTTTGCAACAAATGATTATCTTTGCAATCAAAAAAATTAAGAAGTTCAATGACATGGCATGAATTGGATTGCAGGTTTTGGCATTTTAAATCTATTATTATTAGTATTATTTTAATTTTTTTTTCTTTTTATTTTGACAAAAAACACACATTTTTATTTACACCCGAACTTGAACCCTATGTCTTTGGTGTATTTTAGATATAAATTCTCAATACACAAATGATTTATGCACAATGCATGATTGCACAATATTGCAGCATGCAGAGATGATATGCTAAATTTTTATTTATTGGTGTAATTTTATGTTAGCACATAGAGATGATATGCTAAATTTTAATTTTTATTTATTGGTGTAATTTTATGTTAGCACATAGAGATTGTATGCCAATTTTTATTTATTGGTGTATTTTTATGCATGGTCTATTTTCGTGTGGCCTTGCCTGGACCTGGTCTTTTTTTGACTTGGAAAAAAAAGAAAAGAAAAAACACGAACGTTAGATACATGTATACACCATCAAGGGACATTAGTAAAACTTTTGTCGTATTTTGAATCTTAGAGAAATATATGGGAACGTGGGTGCTTTAGTGGGCAGTACCAGTAACCGTATTAACCGCCACTTTCAAATCAAAAAGATAATTTAACAATTAATAAAACAAAAATAAAATCTGAACACAAATTCAAATTAAAAACATTTCTCATGCCATGACTTCCAAAGGTTCAGAAACAAGCAACAAAACAATCTCATTTGGGTTTTGATTATATATATATATGTATAGGTATATGTATATCATGGAAAGAGGCAGAGACGAACAAGTGATCAAAAAGGGACCATGGACTGCTGAAGAAGATGAAGTACTCATAAACTTTGTGAAGAAGAATGGTCCCAGAGACTGGAGCTCCATTCGATCCAACGGACTCTTGCCGAGGACCGGAAAGTCTTGCCGTCTCCGATGGGTCAACAAGCTCAGACCCAACTTGAAAATGTAACACACACTTCATTGAATTTTCAGATTTTTTGAAATTTAAAAGAGATGGGTCATGGGTGTTCTTAATCACCATTTTAATTTTTTAAATCTATTACTTGTACATGTATATATAGTTATATACATATATATATAGCTAATGGGTTGTATTTGTTGGTTTGATTTTGAAACAAAATGGCGAAGTGGGTGCAAATTTTCGGCGGAGGAGGAGAGAGTGGTGATAGATTTGCAGGGAAAGTTTGGGAACAAATGGGCGGCGATAGCTTCGTATTTGCCGGGAAGGACAGATAATGATGTGAAGAATTTTTGGAGTACAAGGCAGAAGAGGCTGGCAAGAATTTTGAAGTCACATTCACAACAGAGCAAGTCACAGAGAAACAAAGGAAAAGCCATTGCTGTTGATGAAATGCCTACTTTGCAGGTAATATAAAAACAGGACCAAACTTTGAAACCATGTCTTAATTTTGTACTCAAGTGACTTTATTTGATTAAATTTATTTATTTATTTATTATTATTTTTTTTCACCAAAGGGTCTTTGAAATACTCAAAATAAATGTTAATTATGCATATATTTTACCTTTTTTTATTTTTTATTTTTTATTTTAAAGAGGTGATAGTTTTTAATTTTAGTGGTGAAGAATGCTGATTTCAAAATCCTTGAATTGAAAGTTAGGTTTGTATTGGTTTGCCTCTTCATGTCTTCATGCCCTTTACAAGTTATTGGTTATTTTGCTAATCCATTTGAGAACTATTTGGGAATTGTTTTAAATTTTTGAACAATTTAACTCACTCTAATTTCTCCAACTATTTGGTTGATTAGGATAATGATTCTTAAGCCTATTAGTCTCTAACCTAGAAGTGTAGTCTAGAATTTTTTATCCAATGCATTCAATGAATAAGAAACTCTCAGCCAGACTCATCGGTTAGACTATTAGGTCTAAATAGTATTGTCCGGTTGATTATTTGCTAATACTGTAATAGTTTTGCTCAATGTTTCGTCTATGATTAGTTATACTAGCACATTTTCAGGTCCCCAACTATGCCACTCCAATGAAAGAAGACTCTTCTTCACATTGTCAATCATGTTCCTCTTCTAACATGGGCAACCCTGAACCGATCAAAATGGTGCCATTACCTGATTTGTTCAACCCTAACTTGCCCAACATAACCACAACCCTGCCCATACTTGACATCACAGACACTGATCATAACAAACCTTCAATTGAGACCACTCTCCAATTCCCATTCACCCAACTCCCACAGCCAAGGCTAGACCTCCCGCTCCTGCCAGAAGGCCAGCATGACTTTGTTGAGGGACTCTGTGAGCCCAACAACTTCCTCTTAGATGTGTTTATGCAGAGAGAGCTCGAGATTGTGGCACAGCCCGGCTTTGTTTCGCCCCTTGTTGATTTGGATGGCGATGTGGAGAAGGAAGAAGGAAGAGGCGAGAACGATAAACTTGCTACCCCGGATAGCTTCTTTGATGATTTCCCAGCTGACATGTTTGATTACATTGAACCAATTCCAAGCTCATCAGCACTGTGAATTGTTGTTGGCCACAAGTCTGATGTATGTCTTTTGAAAAAGGAAATTGCTTATGTTTTGTTTGGTAGATATGGTAGTGATATGTAATATTGGATCTTAACTAGCATATATATATATATTTATATATATTCTCATGATGTCTCATTTCAGCATCCTGGTGAGACTGTTTGTGGTATTTCTATCAGACTTCGGGCACTTCCTTAACGTTAATATATGTTGAGAAGAAAAGAAATGAGGAGAAAAATGTAAATTGGGAACAAGAATGCTAGTGGGAGGGATCAATTTATAGGACACTCATTTCAGTCTAAACTCAACTGGACTTTTCAATTCAGTGAGCTTACTAAAGTCAAATATGACATCAAGTTTGGTTTTAGGTTAGATTGGGTTGACATGAACTTTTTTTAAAACTTTATTGGTTATAAAAAAAAAATAAATAAATCAATCACTCAAATTTTCATAGGCCGAATGACATTAAACACCCCTAAAAATATAACCCCGAGCTATTAACTTGAACTACAAAAATACTCGCGTACGTCATTAAAAATACCAAAATATCCTACAATAAACTAGAGAGACCAAAACGATGAGGCATGAAGCAGTTGGGCTTTGCGTGGAAGAAATTGATGATAAGCTAAGCTTAACCAGAAAATAACATTCTTGGTTACTTCAATTGCTATTTTAGTGGGTGAATTTAAACTCCTCTCTCAATTATTGGTCTTTTTAGTTTTTGTACCTAAGAAAACGATTATTTCTTTATCCATGGGCAATGAGCTTCCATCTATTAAATATATTTGTAATTATAGAAACCTTAATTTTGGTGCTTATGTGGACTGTTGGTTAAATTTATGCATACTCATCTCAATTGGTGGTCTTTCTAGTTTTTCTACCTAAGAAAATGATGTATTTGATGTATCTCTATTTATAAAAACTTTAATTTTCTGTGTTTATTTTAAAAGTTGGTTTAACTTATGCATGTGAAAAGGAGTCTGGCTAAAATATCAATTGAAGTAAATGAATGCAAATTTCTACTCAGATTTCATTATCATCGGTTCTTTCAATGACAATTTCGTTCCTTCACGCAAAGGCCAACGGCTTCCGTAAACGTCATACCACATTTTTTTTCTCTCTTAAAGTTATTTGAGAAACATTTTAATAAATGTAAATAAATTTTAGACGGTCTAAAGTAAAGTTAAGGGGTGCAATTTGTAACTTTAATACTCTCTCTTTTTTTTTTTCGTGAGTTAATAGCTAAGGATGATTTTGTCAACTATAATAGTTCAGTGTTATTTTACCGATTGTTTGTTAATAGTCCTGGGTTATTAAGGTCTCGTTTGGTATACGTTTTATTTCTGTTATTTTTATTTTTGGACTACTACAGTGTCGATTTTAGCAATAAAAGCATGTTTGGTGCGGCCTTATTTTATTTTACATAATGCTAAAATACTTCGTGAATAGTGGCCCAAAATCAAAATACCAAAAATATATTTTTTCGTGTTTTGACAACTGTTCATGGCCCAAAACCGCATATATGTTTCCGTTTCCGACATTGCCACAACAAAATATCGTTCCCAAACGTGCTTTCGATTTTTTTTTCCAAAACACTCCTGCACTAAAAATATTGTTTCTGTTTTAGACAAAAACAAAATGTCTAAAACAAGCGCATGCCAAATGGACCCTAATAACCTAGGACCATTAACAAATAATTGACAAAATAACACTGAGCTATTATAATTAACAATAATAGTTTAGAGAGTTTAATATAAATTTATCTTATTAAATAATATTCTCTCCGTTCCAAATTAAGTGTCATTTTTTATTTTTTATTTTTATTATTATTATTTTTTATTTATTTATTTATTTTTATAGTGTACCATACTTAATTTGGGAACAAGAGAGTAGCAATGGAAAAAATAAAAAATAGTACTAACCATTTATCATCTCTCTTTTTCTTCTTAAGTGAACTTTTTCATACTCTAAACACAGTAAAAAAATTTCTCTCCCTCCAAACAACTAAACAAATATGGTGTTGGACACAGTTGAAACTTCATACTCACTATAAATAGAACTGACCCATACGTAGAAAATGTGCAAAAACATCTGTGAGAAAAGAAGAAGAAGATGAAGGTTCTTCAACTTCCCATCGTCGACCTCGCCTCTCCTGATCGCATCTCTACCGCCTATTCAATTCGTCAGGTCTCTCTCTCTCTCTCACACACACACTCTCATTATCCTAATTTAAACTCTATATCTCATTTAGAATATATTGGATTTGTTGTTTAATTGACATTCCACAAACCCTACACTTTGTTCTTCCAAAACATCACTCTAAAGTTTGTTTCCAATTCTCAATTGTACATATTTTCCCCCAATTTTGTATGTACTTGTATATATGTATATACAAATATAAATTTTTGGAGCTGTTATGAAGAAGTGAATCCTCATATTATTTATTGGAAATATTTCTTGGAAATAGAACTTCGTTTTATACCACTTGGTTTTGGGGCAACAAATAGATAAGAGTTCATTTGATTCTCAAGTGGTGTAGGATTGTGGAATTTTGAATTTTGCTTCTTTCATGAGCTATTTTTAGCTCGTTTGTGAAGTGATATCGAAAATTTTGATGAACTGTATGCAAATTAAGTTGTATGTTAATAGATTGAACGCGTAAACAAATGTGTTTTGTTTTCGGTTTCTTCAAATTCATAATTGTTCGTGGTGCTACTTAGTAAGCAGTCACTACTCATAATGATGAAATCTTGAATTAATTCCATTATGTGTCTATGTATGTATATTTGTGCATAATTTCATTTTAATTAATTTTTTATAATATCACTATTGTTTCTATTCCTTTCCTTGGAAATCGAAAGCAGTTCTTATTTTTGTAAAGATTTTGCAAAAATATTTGGTTATTACTACATTGGGTTTTGCGTTTGAGTGATTCTCTAAGTTGTGTTCAAATTATGAGTACTGGAATGTCTGCTATAGGCATGCTTGGATTGTGGTTTCTTTTACCTCATAAATCATGGGATAGAGGAAGAGTTTCTGATGACAGTGTTTGATGAGAGCAAAAAATTCTTCTCACTTCCTGTTGAAGACAAGATGAAGCTGGCTCGAAAGCAGTACAGAGGTTATACGCCGCTTTATGCTGAGAACCTTGATCCTTCAACAATTTCTAAAGGTTTTACAATTTTATGACTTTTGATTTACATTGTTTGATGTTGTTCCTTTGTGGCCTAATAATGTTTGTTTGAATGATTTTGTGATGCTTTCAAGTGATGAATGCTTCTAAGTAATGAATATCATGAAACATACAAGTGTATCAGTCCTCAGTCTAGCTGTCCAATTACTATTGACTACTCTGCATGAGGCTGAAACCTTAATTGTGATTGCCAGGCTACTGACACTAAAGCACATAATACAAACACATATTCAAAGACACATAGTAGCACACAAGCATAGACATACAGATACAAGAACATACAGACACAAGCATGCACACATATTTTGTTTTGTTTTTATAAGTACAAATTCATTAAAGGCGCTCAAAAGGGGAGCGATCCCAAAAGAATACACAACCCGCAAGCCGCGATGCTATAACACATGCATACAGATTGACACAGACACACACACACACACACATCTAAGTACATATATATGTACATATTCACATACAAACACATACACATACATATAGATACATGCATGCATGCACGAATCCGCGTGCAGCACCCATAATATTCATACGTACACATACAGCCACTCAGATATACACAAATGCACACATACATCTAGATCCACACACACGCAGAAGTACCGACATTGAGATATATTGAGTGTGAATGTGTGTGCATTTGTGTTTATTTTGATCCTTTATGTCTAACTATGGATTTAATCTAGTGATTAGTTTAAAGTTTAAAACCAGCAAATTCAGATTGATACGGGCGTCTAAATTTAACATGGGGCTTAAAAGTTTTGGTGTATACTCATAAAATAAAAATAAAAAAAAAGTTTTGGTGTAAGATTCTGTAAAATTTGAAAAATGATCATTTTGTTTCTCAAGTTGCATGGGTTATAAAACTTGGATCTTGGAAATTTGGTTGAAAGTTGGCTAAATCAATAAAATTTTCTACAAAGTTTTAATTTGGTCAAAATGAATGTGGGCCAAAAGAAGTTTTGTTTCAGTTACTGAACTTAAAGCTATGGTTACAACTCATCAATAATAGAAATTCTATTGCTTTGTCTTCTCATTTATCTGTACTTGATTGAGTGTAATGGAGAAGGGGGCTCAGGGTTGCTTGTTTTATACTGGTTGGTGTACAGGTGACTCAAAGGAGAGTTTTTATATCGGTAATTTGGAGAAGAATACAACTCATAATAATCTGAATCAATGGCCTTCAGAAGGTACTTTTAACATGTTTACATACTTTATTGGTATCTCTGTTGTTGTTGGGATTTTGTTCATTCATTTTTTGGAATTAGGTCTTGATTCTCACCATTTTATATCCAATCAGTAACGTACTCTCATATAATACTTGATTTTGTTTTTCGTGCATTTCCTGATCTGTCCTTTAGTATTTTGTTTGATGACTATTTTGGATGTTGTCTGGGTAGGAAATTCCAGAAGTATTGCCATACTGGAGATCCACAATGGAATCGTACCACGAGAAACTCCTGTAAGTGTCTCGCAGTGATTATTCACGTGTCGCATTTTGAATTCATTAAGCTTAAAACAATTATTAAATTTTCAATTCAAACCTCATTAGTTTATTGATGGTAATTCTTTTTCTTTACTTTAATAAGAATTTGTATAATTCTTGGGGTCTGAAATGTGATATCACATGCTCAGAATAATTATAGGTTGTGATTTTATATGAGGTGATTTATCTTGGGGATGAGATATTATCAATGAACAAACTAGTTCTAGTGAATTGTACTTACTTGGGATGTGTGTTTTCATGTGTGTGCTTCTATGTTTTTGTCTTTTGGTTCTTTTTCTTATGAATCTTGTCAATATTTGTTTATATTTTCAAGAACAAGGTTTGCAACTTCTAGATGATGTCAATTTTGCTCCCTCAGGGCTGCTGGACAAAGCTTAGTATCTTTACTTGCTCTGGCTTTGAACTTGGATGAAGACTTCTTTGAGAAACTGGGGGCTTTCAATCCACCATCTGCATTTCTTCGGCTGTTGCACTATCCAGGTTTAAATCACAAATTAACTCCATTTTATTTACTCTTTTTATATAATCTATTATTTGGATTTTTTTTGTAGAATTATCTTTTTCAATCCTTTCATTTGTTTCTTATTTCTTCAATCTTTGGGTTTCTACTTCCTTTGTTTTATAGATTCATCTCTGTAATGGGATTTTTTTTTAATAAAGAACTTAGTCTTTCATTTCTTATTTTCTCAATATTAATTCCATTGCATTACTTCAAGATAGCACATCTATAAAAGCATATGATCCTGCATAGTCATGTGGAATGTAACTGTAAAGTGTAGATTTTTTTTGAGAAAATGAAGAATACAAGTTTTAGATTATTCAAGAAGAACAAGTGAAAGAGCGGGGAGAAAAAATGGAGGACAAAGAAGAGAAGAACATAAGAAAGGAGAAAGCACATATAGAAATAGAAGGAACCTAGCATATCATTCCACTCACTCATGCAATAAGAGGTTCCATGTTTGTAACTTAGTTGATACTTAAAAGATATATTCTTATTACCTTCATTTATTATAATAGCAAAAGGTAATATAATAATTGAAATGACCTTGTGAACTCTATCATGCATATACAGTCACAACCACTAGTGTTTTTCTTAGATGTGCCATCAACGTGAAACCTTAGTTTGCCCTTGTTGGGTAGTATCCCATTTGAAGTGAGAGGAAGCTGTGTAGTAAAAGGCAACTTTGCAATGTGTAAAGAGTATTAAGTTTTAATTATTTGACCATATTGACATGCTATCCCACATTATTAGTAGGAAATGTCCACCTTATTTGGCCATCTTACTAATTGTGATGCTTGTACATAAAAATGAATCTCATGCTTCTACTTCTTTCGAGCCATATTTCTCGAACTATTAATATCAGAAGAATACCTTTAGATAGAGCATTGATTACCAGAACTGGGGCTGTCAGTCCAAGAATGAAGTTCATATCTTTATCCAACATTAATGCTGTGCTTCATATCGATTTTAACACATTCACATGTTCAAAACTGAAGAAATGTTTCTAAGCATTAACAAAACCCACGTCATACTGCAACAGCGCAGCAAGAAGAAGCTAATTTATGGAAGAAACTAAAGAAATATATATATATATATATATATAATATTCTAAAACCTTTCTGAATAAAAGTAGAAACTGATTTCAATGGGTTGCACTTAATCCAGATTCATTTGCTTGATCTACAGTGCAGTGTTGGGATCCATTACACTTAATATAGTAAAAAATTTCTTTTCTGCAAGTGATAGTAAACTATACAAACCAATCAGAGGGGTTGTTGAACCATTCATTTAATGGGATATCTTTGCCTCTTCAATTTGATTTAGGCGAACTGGGGTTTTCCAATGAAGAAATTTATGGTGCTTCTGCTCATTCAGACTATGGAATGATAACTCTTCTAGCAACAGACGGTGTTGGTGGACTTCAGGCATGTTTGTTTGTGATCAATTCTGGTTTACAGCTGTATTGAAATCCTATACACCATCATTTTAGTTAGCTTTTTGTGTTAACAGGTTTGCAGGGAAAAATCTAAGCAACCAAGGGTTTGGGAAGATGTGCCTCACATCAATGGGTGAGTTCATGGTGCTAAAATCTTGGGTCAATGGAACTTTCAACAGTACAATGATATAGAGTCTCTTTGATATTTTAATATAAAAGAGTAGCCTGATTATTTTGGTCAGACAAGAAGAAAATGATGAATTAAAAATAAGTTCATTTTGGGAAAATAAATTTAAATATAGGTTATCTGGGTTTATTACTATACTAGTGAATTTTCTAGAATAGAGTTGAAGTTTGGATAACAACTCTAGCATGTGGATTGTCTGCAGTGGTGCTGATTGTAATCCATGATTATGGTTTAAGTATATTATCTTGTCTTTCGAAGCTGTCAATGTTTGCATAGACATTATACGAGCAAATATTTTTCAATTGTTCCTTTTTCATGAGGATTTTATATTGATTATAGACAAAGGAGGAGACTATCTTGTTTGTAGTTTTTGTGATGCAGGGCAGCCCAGGTTTACTTGTGTTCAATGGCTGAATAACGAGCGAGAAGTGCTAGGTGAAGCAATTAAAAAAGGAAAAAATATGGAATGTAGAACAATAAATTTTAAGAAATTGGTTCTGTTTTAGGTAGTTAAGGGCTGTGAACAATTCAATAGAAGAAGATATTCAAAAGAAAGCAAAAGAGAGAGAAATTGGGGACATTTGTAAGATAGAACTATCCATCGTAAGCGGGAAGAAAGAAAAATGGGAATAAGCTTTGTAAATATATATGTACTGGATGTCAGCTATAACAACAAAATACATACCAACACCTGGACAAAATGTCACTGTTAGCTTAGAACTGTGAAAGAGATCTATAGAACACTTCACAACAAAATACATACAAACACCTGGAGAAAATATCACTGTAGCTTAGAAACTGTGAAAGAGATCCATAGAACAATTATTAACATATTGGAGTGGTACCAAAAATAATTTTTGGAAAAAATAGCATGTGGGAAGGTGCTGAATGTCAAAAGACATTACTGGACAATATATTTAGTTGCAACCAACAACAGTCATGTTAGGTTATTTGTGCATTTATGTCGTTTAAATGCTTTGCAATCTATCTGGACATACTGTTGCTTTTGAGATGGATAATCGGATATGAATTGTCTAAAATATCAAAGGCTGAAATGTGCATTCGCCATTGGTTTTGGTTATGTAGAAAGGTAGTGTAACATGACAAGTGATGTGATTGTTTATTTGTTCTTACTGCCTGGAAGTATTTTTTCTCTAACATTTGGAGTTTCTTGGGGCAAACTATGAATATGCAGGGCGTTCATTGTTAATATTGGGGACATGATGGAGAGGTGGACCAATTCTTTGTTTCGGTAATTCATCATTTGAACTTAAAACAGTTTTTTTTTTTTCCCTTGGAGAGTTTATTCGTGTCTTTAGGATTTAATGTTGCATAGCTGTTGTTGTTCCTGATTTTTATTTTATTTATTTCATTCTTTTGTAGGTCAACATTGCACAGAGTGATGCCAACAGGACGAGAACGCTATTCTGTAATTGCCATTTGCGTCATGATCTAATTTCTTTTTAATTTTTATTTCTAATCTACTTTTTTCAAGCTTTTAGAGAGGGTGTAACTTTAATATTAAAATCCTATAACACACCCCCCATGTGTGACCCTCTTTTGGTCCAACACGCATTTCAATTTTAATTATCAAGGTGATGGTGAGGTTTGAACTCAGGACCTTGCCTATTTTGATATTCATGTTAACAACTATTTACTCTAAAAGCTTGAGCTATTAAAGCGGGTGTAACTTTTATATCTAAATCCTCTAGCAATTATTATTTAGTAGGAACATATGAGGTCCATTGTTAAAATCTTGAGTTTCTAGATATGAAATACAAACCCCATTAGAATTATAATTAGCTGAAGCCTACATATAGCTATGTCATTCTTTCAATCCAATGGTGAACGAGTTGTAGAGAAATCTTCTACTAACTATGCTCCTCGTGGATTATGTGATGTAGTTGAAGGCGTGATGCACGTGGAACTTGAGTGTGATTCGTAGTTTCTTCTACATTTCCTCTTAATTTCATTCTATTTTCTGCATTTTTTTGACCATGTAAAACCTAGAATGAGATAAGTTATAGTGCATTTTATACCCTTAAGAATCATTTTTGACAAGCCTTAATATTTTCCCTCTTCAGCCATCCAACCTTAAAACTTGTTTTAATATAGAAATAACTGAGTTATATCTCTTTAATAGTTTAAACTTTTTGGGCAACTGGTAATTTAACATGACATTAGACCAAAGGAGGTCCTGACTAGAATTCTCACCGTCATCGTGGTGATTATTGGATGCCCTCTCTCTTCGCAGGGTCAAGAAGTCGATTCATGAACCATTTAAAGAGAGTGATTCGATGGAGCAGCATTGACCGAAATTTGGTCACATGTGAGAGGGCGTGTTAGAGAATACAAGTAATTAAGTTACACCCACTCTAATAGCTCAAATTTTGCGGTAATTGGTAGTCTACCAAAACTTGTTCCAAAAATCAATCCCTAGTTATTGTTCACACGTGCCTAGGGATGGCAACGGGGCGGGGTGGGGCGGGGATTCCATTCCCCATCCCCATCCCCGATGCATTTTTCATTCCCCATCCCCGCTTAAAATTTTGCCAGAATCCCCATACCCGCCCCCGACACCTTATCCCCATCCCCGCCCCGGCCCCGGCCTTATAATTTTTTTTAATTAAAAAAAACACATTTTTTCTTATTTTCATATATATAATAAATCTAATTTAATAATAAATTATTATATGTAAGGGTATATTAGTAACTTCACACTTAATCGGGGCGGGGGCGGGGCGGGTTTACCCCATCCCCGGCTCCGGCCCCGGCGGGGATTCATAATTTGCGCGCATCCCCATCCCCGTTTAGCTAAAAGGATCCCCATCCCTGCTATAAACGGGGAGGGGCGGGGCCCCGGCGAGGATGGGGATTTGCTATCCCTAAACGTGCCACTCAAAGCTCGAGAACAGCCCTAAACAATGTCTTCCCTTACCTAGTTAAAAATTCCGAAATCTTGCCTACAATCCCTAAAATCCTCATGCCCTCATTAAACACACACACACACACACACACAAAAACCTAACAATATTCAGCTTTTAGAATTTCTTTCAATACTGCTTAAATCCATTTTGGCGCTGCAATTTTTAGGGGAGTGTCTCTTTACACTTGTCCTACATCTGTGCCTTGTTTTTATTGTAGGCCTTCATCTAGGAATTTCTGTGATGAGCTGACAATTATTTATGCAACATTTGCAGACGGCTTTCTTTTTAGATCCTAACCCAGACACTATTGTGGAATGCTTGAAGAGTTGCTGCAGTGAGTCGTCTCCTCCTAGGTATATTATTACTTGTTGGCTTAAATTTGTGATATTTTACTTTGCTGTGCTTAAATTCAGTGGCTTTTGTCTGCCTTTTTGAATTAGCTTTTCGCTCAGTATACATCCTTAACAACCCATCACATGAGATTCATACCTGCTTGTCCACTTCGTGTGTTCATATAGGTTGTAAAAGGTGTCACACGTTTTTAGTTTAATGCAGCACCTTTGATGCAACTTTGAGGAAATGATTGGAAGGTTTATCCAAATGATTTTAATGTCATATTTTGATTTTCATTAGTAGTCTGTTTGATAGAAGGGAAGAGCGATGGAGGAAGGAAAGCGAACTAAGGAATGGATAGACTTTCCATTGTCTGTTAGAAAGGAAATGGGAAGGGTAGGGAAGGCTCTTCTCTCAGGGCCCACCAAATTTGTTCCTTGCAAATTGGAAGGAAAGAGGGAAAAGTTTCTTTCCCTTTTTTTCAGATTTTGGCCTTCATAGACACCTATATTTCTTAAAGAGTACAGGCATAATTGCAAAACTTGTACTGTAACTTCCTTTCGTTCCTTCCTACTCAACCAAGGAAAGGAGGAAAAGACTCCTTCCTTTCCCGAAGGACATCTCCTCCTACCTCCCATTTCTTCCACTTCCCGTACCTATTAGACAGAGTATATAAGAGTCAAAATTCAAAATATAATAGTACTTGGCAATGTGAATCCCGTAGATTTTATGGTTTTCTTTTACAAAAGACTGAAATTATATTGCATACTGGGCTTGCTCTAATTGTAAAATCTTTAGAAGTCATTGAACCTGAATATGATCTAGAAATCAGTGTATAAGTTTACCATATAAGTTCAATTAGAAGGCTTCTTTCTTCGAAGCTATGCAAAATGCTGGCATACTCGAAACTCATCTGTTTTAAGAATTCACTTCTGAATGGAAAAAAAGAGAATCTATGTGGCCGACATACTTGTGCTAATGATGTAGACTAATGACGAATTTTAAAAATCTTTTTGTTGGTAAGAAGTTAAAAGAGTAATTCATTTTTTTAAATGAAGCAAATTTTATGAGGTATTTTCATAAAGATAATGGATACCACATTTACATGATGTGCTGCCCGTGCAGATTTCCCCCACTCCGTGCCGGAGATTATTACGAGGAGCGGTTCAGTCTTACATATGGTTCTAGTGTGGCTTTTAAGTTGTGAACAACTTGAGAAGACAAAGGCTGCATGGTTCCAGAGAAGAGTTGAATATTGGCAATTCAGCACAGCCATATACAACCGATACTATCTATAGATTCTATAATACCGCAATTATAGTGATACTTCCTGTTTTAAATCTTGATCAGAACAAACAGCATTACTGGTGAATCTGGACCCATGTATCTATGATATTCGCACTGATCTAAGACTTCTTATCATGGGTTAAGGTGTCCCATGTGCGGTGGTAAGGTAATCGAGCAGCCCATGCCCTTGCATCATTCTCTTCTTCACGCTTGTATGCTGATTCTGTCATCTCTCAACGTCCGGCGGAGGTGCTTCAGTTGGTGGAGTTGGACTACTGTCCTTTTATCTGTTAGTTTTTATTCTGTTTGCCAGGGAAAAAAAAAAAAAAAAAAATCTGGACCCTTTACTACATTTTTTTTTTTTTTTTTTTGCGGGATAAATAAACTCTCTGTTACTTATTATAACTACATATAGCTTTATTGGTTTGTGTGTACTAAACTTAGTATTTCCTCTTTATACTATAGCAAATCCATGAACCTTATTGCTTGTTTTGGATGAATTATTTGAAACCCTAGTGTTGTTTAGCATGAGAACAGATAAACTTATTTATTTGAAACCCTATGCAAGTGTAACATGAATAGAGGAAATTTTTTATATAAAATATTCCACTAGACTATCTAATTATTACAACTAATAGAAAGATTATTAATCGATTGTGCTTGGGTGTATTAGATTATTAATCTGTAGAACATTTAACTTCTTTTGTAGTAGGTGGTTATTAATTTTCAATAAATTCCTCACACTGTAAAATTCTCCAGATAACTTATTTATTTGAATATGCAAGTGTAACATGAATAGAGGAATTTTTTTATATAAAATATTTCACTAGACTATCTAATTATTACAACTAATAGAAAGATTATTAATACTGTTGATGTCAAAAATCTACACGCTCCGAAGTCTGTGACAATTCCTGCAAGACAAGAGAAGTGATGACCGGCGTGGTACTGGTCGGGTGCACTCCGACGGTCAAGTTAGTACTCGACGATTAAATATCCGATAAGGATTCAATATGAAATTTATGGCGTACGTTTTTAGGTTGACTGATTATTAATCTATTGTGCTTGGGTGTATTAGATTATTAATCTGCAGAACATTTAATTTCTTTTATAGTAGGTGGTTATTGATTTTCAATAAATTCCTCACACTGTAAAATTCTCCAACTTGAAAAAAATGATCTAAAAACCTGTATATAAAGTCCAATATCTTGTAGGGTGTTTGTTCAAAGAATAAAATTTTCTAAATTTGTTAAAGTAAAACATTATCTAAAATCATTATTCATAAATTCAAAATTATTTTTGTAAAATGCAGTCACAAGATTAATATATTTGTAAAATTTAAAATTTCACAAAAAGAAATTTAAAATCAAATTAAGTTTTTCAAAAGGCCAAATTAAGAAAAAGAAAAGTGACATCTCAAAAATTTGCGGTAGTGGACAAAGCGTCCATTTCTGTCTACTTGCATCACTTCCTTATTGAAATGGGTCCCAATTACTAATGTGGGACCGCCAGAAATCATACGGAAACCGACAAACATCCATCAAGTGTTACAACTTTCAAATGGGACCCACATTGGGCTCGAAATAATGAAATATAAAGAAAGAAACGTGTAAAATTTGCTTTTTATGGTAGTGACATGTCACTTGTAGAATAAACAGCATTAAAGACGATTATGTTGGGCCACATTAAGTGTGGACCGTCCACGTGTTATGGATGATGAAATGTCTTTCAGAAAATGGTAAAATGGGGATCTTCTAATTTTATCGTGTGGTTTTGTGATAATTATCGTCTGCTCTGATGAAAAAGATCTGCTTTTGACTATTTATTTGTGGGGTCCAGTATTAAAAATTTATGGGCTAGAGATAAAATGCTGTGTGACTTTTGGATAGATGATGATAAGATTTGATAATCAATTTTGTACTTTAAGATATCAAAATATCGGATTACACCCTTTATGGTGGTCCTAATGGTTATGGACTGTCCTTCAAATTCTTTGTCCCTTTGAATGGTTTGTTGATATGATTGTCCAATTTTATCCATTCCATTACAGTATATATTGAAATTATTGCATGAATAATGTTTAACAATTTAATTATAAAAAAAAATGACATTTGTCAAAAGAAAAAAAAAAAAAATTTATTTCCTAGTTTTAAAATGAGCAAAATTTTCACTACAATAGTATATAAACCAATTTATTCATAGAAATTTATAAAAAGAGTTTGTCTTGTGTTTGTTTGGTAAGTAATCAAATTGAGTTTTCAAATGGACTAAAATAAAAAAAATCGAGCTCAAACAACCATTAATTGATTCTTGAATTCATAAAAACGTTCCTAAGCAAGTTCAAACATCATTTTGTTTGTTAGAGTCAAACTCAACCTACTTATCTAATATCATAGTCTAAATCTGTTAGCACATTTGTGCCAAGTATTATCATCCAAAACAAACGGAATTCAGTTCAAATTATTGCAATAAAACAATTCCCATGCTAATGGCACCATCAAAACATTTACATTTTTTTAAAGTCATGTAAATGTTAATGTAAATGATTAGACCATCTCAATAATGTTACACTTCAATTTATTTGATTTATTACTTGTTTATTTTTTACAAGAAACTTATAACATTTGCTCCTATAAAATATTTGAATTTTAAAAAATACTATCACACTAGAGTCTTAGGTGATATTTAATGCTTCAAAAATGATATGTTATACACTATTTCCTTTGTCCAAAAAGAATTGTTTTTTTGTTTTGAATTGTTTTATCTAATATATTGACACCAATCAACCATCCATCAATGTTGTTTGACTTAACAGCGATATACATGAATCAAAAATCATTATCCTCAAATCCGGACAGCACCTAATAAATTCCCTTTTTATCTCGAAGAGTAGTCCAGACCCTATTTTATGGATGTTGTAGTGATCCAACATCTCATAGCTTTCTCTCTCTAACTTGTTTCTCTCTCTATATATCTCAATCTCTCTCCCCCAACAACAACAACAACAACAACAAACCAAAATTTCAATCGAAATCCAAACACCCAATAAACCCTATCAGTCTCCGACTCCATTATCGATCCTCCAATCCCGAAACCCTAGACTTCTTCTCTCGGATCATATAAACAATCTCTCTGTGTCTACAGTGTATTCGGATCGTTGTTTAATCGGATTTTGAGACCCGAGAGGCGACCATGACGAGGCGGTGCTCGCATTGCAGTCACAATGGTCACAACTCACGGACCTGTCCCAACCGTGGAGTCAAGCTCTTTGGGGTCCGATTGACCGATGGATCGATCCGAAAGAGTCCCAGTATGGGTAACTTGGATCGGGCAATCCGAAAGAGTGCCAGTATGGGTAACTTGACCCATTACACAGGTTCCAGTATCGGTACCCTTCAAAACGGCGGCGCCGATAACATTCACGACTCCCCCGACGACACGCCGGATCACGGCGTTGCCGCAGACGGCTATGCATCGGAGGATTTTGTCCCTGGTTCTTCGTCCAGCAGAGAAAGAAAGAAAGGTTCGATTTTTTCAACCATACACGCACATATATAAATGAGTATGTGTATATATATAAATATGTATTGCTAAGTTGCTAATCTTGTCTGTGTTTATTTGGGTACTTAATGCTCGAATTGTAAGTGTGGATGGTAGTGCTTGATTGTTATTTTGTAAAGAATCAAGTTTTGAATCTCATATAAGTTATAACCTTCAATGTGGTATGAGAAATTGGGCGACTGCTAATGAAAATTTGAATTTTGATTTTATGATCTAATTCTTGTAGTTCCCAATATCAGTAGCTCAACAAAATAGAAAGTCGTACTATTCATGCGTTTTGAAATCTAGTTGGAAGAATGAGAGTAATTGTCTTCAATTTATTTCTCCTCTTTTTCAATTCCTCAGCAAATGAGAGTAGAGTAATTTATTCTTCCTCATCAACCAAACTGAGAAAACAGGTGCCCATTTCAAAACCTCGATTTAATTTTGATTTATGCCATACTCGATTTGCATTTAGAGTGACTGCTTTACCTGATTCATTTGGAAAATTGTTTTTGGTGTAAATAGGTGATGAGTTACTGATTCGAGTTAGTGCTGGTTACTTGGCTGCCTCTCCCGGTTGACTTCAATTGCTCTTTTTGCCAATCAAGAATTGATTTAGACAAAAATGCTGACTGATAGTTCTTCATGTGTCATATTGAAATTTACCTTTATTGGGTAACTAAAAGTTGCACTTAGGATTCAATTTATATTACTCAGAGCAGCTCTGTATTCTGATTGTGGTTAGTCACTGTAGATGGCGTAATGGCAAACTAGTTTTATCCATATGATGAAGGGATCATACTTACCTTTGAGCTTTCAAGTCATGAAGTTCATTAAAACTTGAAGCAACCAAGATTTTTGGTGATTTATTATTGTTAGAAATAAAGGAATGGAAAAAAATACGTAGTATTATATTGTAGTATTATATTGTATTGCATTGATGATGTTACATAAAATGTCCTATATATAGGATAAGGTTTGGAGTAGGTGAGTGATGAACAAGTAACCTATAGATACTAATACAGTAGGTATAATATATATGGTAATTTGTGTATACAAGAAACCTAGGTGGTAAAGGAGTAAACTTGTAATCTAACAGTCCCCTCAAACTCAAGGTGAATATGAAACCATCTTGAGTTTGGAGACGAGATAATAGAAGTGGTGGTGGAGCATGAGGACCACTTGAGGCATGGTAGCGCACGAGTGACGAATTTGTGAAGATTTGCCACGTTGATGGTGCTTTGGGAAGCGTATGATGACCACTGATGGCGCGTGGCGGTGACGGAGTTGTGAAGATCTGACACATTGAGGTGCGGGATTACCCATTGATGGTGCGTGGTGGCACGGTGAAGTAGCTGATCCGACACATTGAGGTGCAGGATTAATGTTGTTGCGTGTCGAAGCGCATGGAAGAGTGGGATTACCACTTGAGGCGCATGGTGGCGCGGTGACGGAGCTGATTCGATACGTTGAGCATCTCTGAACTAGGCATCTCATTGGGTTTCCTTGAGGAAGACTTAAACAACGAGGCTTCCCTATACGGGGCATCCCTAGGCGGGGCTTCTCTAAACGAGGCATCTCCTTGGGTTTCTCGGAGGAATACTTAGACAATGAGGCTTCCTTGGACGGGGCATATAAAAATCTTGGAGAGCGGAAGAGTGAGTTTGCCGGTTGACCACCGCCGGACAACGAGGTTTCCTTGGACGGGGCATTTGAATATTTTGGAGAGCTGAAGAGCGAGTTTGGTGGCGGTCGCCGAGGATGGGGCTGATGCCTGATGGTGCCATTCTCGGCGGTGACTACGATAAATTGGTAGATTATTTACCAAAGATCGAAAGGCTCTGATACCATGTTAGAAATAAAGGAATGGAAAAAATATTATATTGTATTGCATTGATGATGTTACATAAAAGGTCCTATGTATAGGAGAAGGTTTGGAGTAGGTGAGTGATGAACAAGTAACCTATAGATACTAATATATATACAAGAAATCTAGGTGGCAAAGGAGTAAACCTGTAATCTAACAGTTATCAAAGCCATGGAATAGAGGATATTGTATTACTGTATTAGTGGAACTTCAGTTTTTTTATCGATGTCAAGGTTGTCAACCTTACGAGGGCAAAGAAGCATAGTTTCTTTAGATCAAGCAAATAATTTGCATTTTTTGAAGAGTGAAGTTTTGATTTTATACGGTAAAATTTCTTGGTTCTGGGAGGAGCAGGAACAGGAACGTGTTTAGCTTATTATTTGTCTTCTTAAGTATTTTCTAATGCCACCAAAGTTTCACTTTTAGTGCATCTATTGTCCGCTTTGAATTGATCAGATTTTCTAGTCCATATAGTTGAACACATTATTTTTGTGATACATCTATCGTATTTCCTGCACTGTGCGTGCCTGTTGGCCTTTGAAACATGTGTAATTTGATTTATAGGTGTTCCATGGACCGAAGAGGAACATAGGATGTTTCTACGTGGCTTGCAAATGCTTGGCAAAGGTGATTGGCGAGGAATTGCACGCAATTATGTGATATCAAGAACTCCCACACAGGTGGCCAGCCATGCCCAGAAATATTTTATCAGGCAAACCAACATGTCTAGAAGGAAAAGACGATCTAGCCTGTTTGATATTGTAACAGATGAAGTTAGTATATTTCTCTCTGTACACAGATACATCATAGGCATATATATAATTATTACTTATTGCTTCTACTTGTTTCTGATCCCATAATTTTATTATGGGATTTTTCAAACTCCATCGATACTATTAGCCAGAATCTCACTGACATGATCGTGCATATGACATGTGACATAAATGCAAGGGGATTGGCTGTCTGCTGCCACCCTTAATTGCAAGAAACATTTATGTTGGATTATCTTGGTTTATTGTTTTCGAGACTCGTCTAAATAGCAATTATTTCTGTATTTATTGTTTACCATGTATATTTTATTGGACCTTGTCAGCGCATCCCTGTGCGTGCTGGCGCGTAGAAAGCGCGTGAGGGTGTGTCCAGGCGCGTACGCGTGTGGCCGCTTGTGTGCTGCACACGCTCACGTGCCAGAGATGCTGCGGCTAAGATGACTACTATTTCTTTTGTTTCCAATGTGCATCCGATGTGTGTGATTCTGCCTTTTTAAGCCTTTAGGATAGGATCTAGATTTATATAGTTTCTTTTTGGAAGCCTTACAAAGTTCTCTATGATTAGGTTTCTGTTTTAGATGCATGCAAATTTGGTACTTCAAGTCACTTTTTCTTTTCTCACCTTTCTCAATATTTATTGCTTATGTATTGTTACTTTTCCTTGCATTTCTGCAGTCAGTCGACACACCAATGGAGTTGCCAGATTTCTTTGCCATTAATCCTCCACAAGCTGAGACACAACGCAAGAATGCTTTTCCTATGCCTCCTGATTTGAATGAAGAATGTGAATCAATGGATTCTGTGAACTCCAATGATGGGGAACCTGTCCTTCCAAAGCCAGATAGCTCGCAATGCTGTTACCCAGTTGTATATCCTGCTTACATCTCTCCTGTTCTGCCATTCTCTTTCCCATTTTGGTCAGGATACGGTATGGAGCCAGCTAAAAAGGAAACTCATGAGGTTCTAAAGCCAACACCAACGCATTCAAAGAGCCCAATTAATGTAGATGAGTTGGTTGGCATGTCAAAATTGAGCTTGGGGGAATCTGCTGGCGAGAAAGGGTCCTCTCCTCTCTCTTTGAAACTGCTTGAAGGAACCACTAGGCAGTCTGCTTTCCATTCTACTGCCTCTAGCAGTTCAGGCATGAACTCGAGCAACAGTCCTATCCATGCAGTTTAAAAGTCAAAGTGCTGCCTAGATGTTTAGGATAGCTTAGTGTTGGTAAGCTCTAGATATTTTCTGTTAATACATGAAAATAATGCGCAGTCTGGTTGGAGTCCAGTAATAGTTTTCTTTTGTTACCTACTTACTGAAAGAAAATGTCAGTTCTTACCTTGTAAGTTGTTGCAACTTTTGTGAGAAATTAATTAAATCTTTTAACATTTTGTGCCAAGTTATTATTATTTTTCCTTCAGTTTATTATATCTTCTTCTTTAGATAGAATTATACTGTGATAATCTAAACAGTAACAAATTCTATGTTTCTTTTGACCAAAGATTTACCCGAGTTGTGACTTGTTCCCCTTGAGGAAGTGTTTCTGTTATTCCTACAATATGTTAGAATTTTTCTATGTATCAGGAAGGAATCAATAACCACTACATTTATCCATGGATCGGTATTAATTACTACTTTGTCAACTGTAAATCTTTTTGTTTTGGTTTTAATGCTGCATGTTGGTTTCTAATGTACTTGTCTGCTCAGGCATCTTTCAGCCTGTGTCTCCTCTATTCTGCAATGAGCTGCTGAGGAAGGAAAAAAAAAAAAAAAAAAAAAAAACTTCATTTTGTTGATTTATTTGTGGGGAACACTTCATTTTGTCTGGATTGTGATCTCCATTAAAAATATGGTTCTATGAGCAAAAGTTCTTGTTAAGATGAATCCTGCATGCATTGAGGATAATTGTTTCTCACAGCTTGAGTCTTGTCTATGAATGCATGAGCAGGTAAAAGAGTAAGCGGGATTCCTTGGGAAAAATTGTAGCTGAATTTTGGGACCTACGGAAGTGGCTACATCCATCACTTTGCAATGGTCTATTGCCTTTGATCGAGATCAAATTTCTTCCCTACCCTTAAACTCGGAACACTTCCTGGAATGTCATCATACCATCCTTTGGTGCATATGGAAATTCTGAAATTCATGATAAAGAATGGAAAAAGAAAAAGAATTATAATTTTTCTGATTCTTCGTACAATTGATTGCCTAAACCAACCATATCAGACACATTTGACAGATTATAGGGACTTTAAATTTCATAAGAATCTATGGATTGGTCTGGTCATAGCCACCTTAAACTTCTTCTTTACGACACCTACTAACACCTACTAACAGATTGCTTGATTTTTCTTTGGTCATAATAAGAAATTCTGTGCAAGATACAGAACCATATTTGATGGTCGGGGCCACCTCGGTTATTTGTTCTTCTTCTTTACTGAAACATTCAGAGTGTGTGTTTCCTAAAATAAACTCTCACCAAGTCAGGTACTGGTGTTTGTGCCCCAATTGCTTAATTTCCTTCTGTCATACAGGGAGCATTTCTATAGCGTGCCTTTCAGGAACATGCTGTCTATGGCGAATATGGGCCATGATTCTCTGGTGGAGCCAATTCCACAGCATTCGAAGTTGTTGGTTCAACAATTCACTTGCTAAAAACAAGACGTGAAGCAAGTATAGAACCGGCCTAATGGAGTCTGCAAAGAGGACTGCTGCCAGAGACACCACTGCCAGCGAACCAAACACCACCATACCACTCCGAAGAACAAGGGCATAAGATGGATGAGAACGACAAAATCTCGACTTAGCATCGTATGCCAAGCCATATACGAGCAAACTAACAATGCCCACCTGCATGCTCTTGGGGTTTGTTTCAAATGGAGATTTATTCTTTCCTTGGTACATCAATTCGAGAAAGTTGATGATAACTGGAACGATAAAGGCGAGAATGGCATGGCGGGCAGTGACCATACACGGTGCTTCAGAGAAGTAGCATCTCGTGGCCATAAATGCCACATTGAACTGTCCGGTGAAGTTCCTTCGTATCCGGGGCAGAGAATGGAATGTTGTTGCAGCATCAGCCATAGGATTTTGAGCACAAATCTGAAGAAAACACTTATTAGCACAATATAACAATCATGAAGATGGAATGGAAATGTTGAGTAAACTATGAAGAGAAGTGAGAAGGGATTACCAGACCTCTTGAATTGGAAATGATTTTCAAGTTGGTCCTAAAGCGCTTTATATAGAGAGGGGGTTTTGAGGAAAGTCTTTGGTAACTTCTCATGCTTTAAAGTCTTCAAAGAGGTTGGAGAAATTTTCTTTTGGTAGTCTGTTGGATAAAATGTTGGTTGCTTAAGACAAACAAAAAAAGGTCCTCAAAGGGTTCAAATGGTTTATGAGTTTGGACATACTTGTGAATGTTATGTAAAAGGTTCAAATGGTTTATTTGTACTTACATTTGTGGTGTGAAACTAATGACACATAGATGGTATCGGTTGTCTTTCTTTTTGAGAAGTCATACATTGATGGCATCACTTTGTAAATATAGTCAGTACTTTATCTGGGTGGACTCTGACTAACACGTTTATCAATTGGGTCCCATTGTGGCCAATCAAATGGAAATATCACTTCAATGCATTCAATCCCCAAGCCTCCTTAAAAATGGTTCTTATTTCTTAAAAGGTTCAAATGGTTTAAGAAGAAGAAGAAGAAGAAGAAGAAGAAGAAGAAGAAGAAGAAGAAGAAGAGGACAACATTTTTGTCTTTAGATTTTTTTTTTTGAATCTGAGAAGTAGTACAATTCAGATGACACTTGAATATGTGAAAGTAAATTTATTATTTTTTTGAGTGTATATTTTTATTCATAAAATTGAAAGTAGTTTCCTAAGAATTTGATTGCTAAGAGCCTAGATGTGTTACACACCAACGCATACGATTTATGGTATGATATTGTAAAATAGTCTATCTGTGACGTAACTGACGTTCTATCCCAAAAGCATATGGTATGATATTACTATTACAAAATAGTCCTCATGTTTCATCATAGAAGCATGTGAGTTGTACAGTATGATATTGAGGTCTTCGGTTCATTCCTGTTGCGGTGCTTCTCCTTCAGTGATTTTCATTGCAGAATTTTGACTCTCGTCCTCAACAAATTTTGGAGTCTGTTTTTTATTTTTATTTTTTAATTTGCTTTAAGATTTGTATGTCTTTTTTTGGGTTGACTTTTAACTTTGTAATGCCTTGACCTTTGTAATGATTTTAAATATATATATATAATATGATATTGCTCTCACAGTGCCTCACTTCCAAACACCACCTCTCTCTCCCTCTAATTTCTCCATCTCTCTGTCAGACCATGGTTCTTTCCAAGACTCTATCCCAGAGCGATCTCTCCGTCCACTCAACCTTTGCCTCCCGATACGTTGGAGTTTCACTTCTCAGTGATGATCTAAATATATGTATAAATAAATAATGAAGGGAGCCAAATTTAAAACCTTAATTAATTTTCAGATAGATTATTGAATTCCTTAATTGATTTATTAATTTGTTCTAATATTTTTTTTTTACTCAACCTATATTTATGATTATTTCCCGGTGAACTGAACAAAACCTAATACCTCAATTGTTAGTTTTGAAGATGATACAAAATCAGGAACAATATTCAAAAAAGATTCATGATTTGAGAGAAAGAGAAAGTTATGGGTAGGTTAATTACATGAAACTTATTGAAAAGGGTAGAGAAAAATTTGATTTTAGTATATAAGATTTAGGGTCAGTTTGGTGCAATAACAAAAGGAGGAAAGGGAAGGGAAGGTGATGGAGGGGGATTAAAAATTTGTGTTTGGCAAGAATTGTTGGAAGAAAAGGGAAGAGTTTGGAGGGTTAACACAAGGTTTCAACAGTAAATTTCTTAACCTCTTAAAAATAGGAGGAAATGAAGGAAAAGGGAAGGAAAGGCTTGGTGTGTGATTTCAGATGCCAATTTTGCCCTTGATTACATATGAATTTAGTTTGCAAAACAAGAATTACAGACCTTGGTTAGTTGACTAAGCAGTTGCAGAGAGAGAGAGGGGTAAGCTTGAGAGTTTAGAGAAAGAGGGCCATCGGCTGAAGCTTGCGAACGGCGAACCCGAATTGGAACAGTGGGCGATGGAAACTGAAAGATCGATATGGGTTTTGATTTTTTGAACAATCTGAAATTGGGTTTTGATTTTTTGAATAATCTGAAATGATGCCGATATGGATTTTGAAGTTTTGATTCTTGCAGACAAATATATAAATTGAAATATATGGGTTTTGAACTTCTAATTCTGTGATACCCCCCCCGGATTTCCGAACGCGGGTTGGCCAGGCCCACGCCCGAACACCCGAGGATATCAAAAACGAATCGGTAATAAACGAACACAGAGTACAAAAGAATAAAGAAGAATAAATAAAATCATGACAAGAGAAACTAAAATGATAATCTAATAATAAACCTCAGAATATATTTCCATTAATTAATAAACTCTTCTGATACAACTGATCCTCCAAAATACAACTCGGGAATCCATACTGTGTGGACCCCTAGAAAATCCAAACTAAACAAATGACAGCAATTACTGTCTAAATCAGGAAACTGAATCATAAAGGAACTCCTATGTAACATCGGAAGAATGAAGTAGACTGATACCCGCTCAGCACGAACAACCTCTACTCCTGACGAACACCTGAAAAATAATGGTGGGTCAGGCTCACAAACAAGTTCTACTCTACTACAGTCCAAGCAGAGATCCGATACACGTATACATCCTAGTCAATCTAACAGTAACTAGTAGTCCGTATATATATATATACACACTAAAGGAACCTCACTAGACTATAGGGTTGTCTCAACCTGAATAGTAGGCAACATGCAAAACGCACATATAGTGGGCATGAGTACCTAGACCTACCAGGGTACACAACTACACTATATCTAGCTACATATCCCTGGCGATATACGCACCCTAACCACTGATCCTGAGACTCAAGCTCATATCATGGCACCATACTTATATATATAAAATCTAGTAACCATCTTATTCAGTATAAATTAATCCTTCATAAGTCATTCAACTTGTTCAGCTGACCTGACTTGAATATAAGTAGGACTTAACATTTTAGTTAATCCATTCCCTTATATAATAAATTAATTCTCCATAAGTCATTCAACTTGTTTAGCTGACCTGACTTGAATATAAGTAGGACTTAACATTTTAGTTAATCCATTCCCTTATATAATAAATTAATTCTCCATAAGTCATTCAACTTGTTCAGCTGACCTGACTTAAATATAAGTAGGACTTAACATTTTAGTTAATCCATTCTCTTATATAAAATAGGTAGGACTTAACCGATAAGTTAATCCATCCCTAG